GGGGGGGGGGGAGGGGGGGAGAAAATATATTACAGAGAAAATAATTTAAAAATTCCATTGACTGGCGAAGGGGAAGGGAGTTACGCGTCACTTGACAAACGCGTCGAAATTAATTTCTCGTCAAAATCAAACTCTTATTTTCATTGTCATTACCATTCTCTTTTGAAACGCGTAAAATATTTGAGCCATCCCGTCAAAAATTCCCATTATTTGATTAAAGAGAGGTACAATGGCAATAAAAAGGATCGAACTTGATTTTTACGAGAAACTAATTACAACGCTCGATCAAGTGCTGCATAATCCCGTCCAGCTGCGATTTTGCAGTCGAAACCGGAGAGATTTTTGCTTTTAACAAACGCGCGCACTCAGCGCTGAGCGATCACTGTGTCGAACACTCGTCTCTCGCAAATCCGCCGTAAATGACTGTCGAAGCGGACTCGAAAAACGCACTGTCTAGCGACAATTGACGTTGTTCGCGCGCGCGAGTACAGAAGTTCGCTCAAGTGTCGCGCATACGGCAGCGATTCCCGCTAATTCGACGTCACGTCTGTGCATTTAATTTGCAGTCGCGAGACGCGCCTCCGCGAGTGGCGTACGCGTCCGGAGCCTTCTGACGTTTATTCGCTTTTCCATAAAGTGCATTCTGCGCGACGGCGAATTGACGTCTCTGTCGAAAAATTGCCGGCGCGGCGGTATGCAAATGGCGGTATGTATTTTTCACGAACGTCGTACGTATTTTATCGTTTCAGGAGGCGCTTTTCAGCCCGAATTTTCCGGCCCTATCACCAATCTAACCGTGCCGCTCGGGAGGGACGCCACTTTCACGTGTCTGGTGAAACATCTAGGAGGCTACAGAGTAAGTTACATGAAAAGCGACGGCGCGTCTGTGATGTCAGTAACGCTCGCTTAACTTCTCGGGCTCTCACTTAACTTCTGAAAGGACGCGTCTTTAAAAAGTCATATCTCGCGCACCACGCCGGTCCTTCGCGGTGTGTGTAATGCGCACACCTTGCTCGTCGCAGGGCGTTCATTCGGTGCACCGTGTTGTTAATGCCGTCAGTCCGACGAGCACCGCGAAAAAGAATCCCTACGAATGCGTGGTACAAACAGAATGGGAGATAACAACGATGGCGCCATCGCACTCGTCACACATCGCAGACGTGACCATTTTTCGATACTGTCTCTGTAGGAAAAAGTCTCGGCGCGCGCACACATATCCGGAAATTACATTCTCTACGGAACGGAAGCGGACCCGTAATGAGAAAAGTACACTCGACAAGGCGAGAGTATGAAAGATGCATTCGGTGCTTTAAATAATCATCCGTCCGTGCAGTTTTCACGGAATCAAAAGCTGATCTTGATATCTGCGAAATTCTCGCTCAGAGGCGAGAAAGAAAGAGAGGAAGACCGAACGCTCGAGGAGAATTTTTCCGAGCACTTTGCCCGACTTTCTCCCTACCGGATCGCTAGCGGTAGCGAGAACTTTTATCGATACACGCGCCTATAAGAAGATACGAACGGGCGCTCCTCTCTCCTCGACGCGTTAACGAAATCTTTCTATAAAGCTAATCTCGTAAAACGGATCGCGCTATCGATCGCAGCCCGCCGCGGGAATAACTTGACTTCAACACTCGCCGTTACCGGTCCGCAAATTCGCGCCTTCACGGCCGGCGGAATTTAATAACACTTTTATCCCCATCGCGCCACGCTCGGATTATCTTTTTCGCGCATTACCGTACCTCCTCGCGGAAACGGTCCGCAAATTGCATTACGGCGAACGGAGAGCCGGTCTCTCATTACGGCGTAACCAGTTGCTTCTGAACGGTGTATTTGCTCGCAGCATCGGTCAGACGCGCTCAGATCAGGCTCGGGTTAGACCGCCGCGGCTCACGCTATCCATACCCGGCGTCCGTCGAAACGTAAACTGTAGAACGGAAGACCCGATTACGTTTCACATCGATCCATACTGTGCCAGTCGGCTGGAATAGAGGCGAAATATATCGCCGGCGCGTTCGTCCCCGCGAAATTCGATGTTCGCGCGCTCGAATTGTCGCCGCTGCTCACCAAGTATAACCAGACCGTGTTGTCTCTTCGCTACCATTTTCATCGCACGCATCACGGATCGCATAATTATTATTGCCGTTAATTTGATCGCGCGGCGCAACGAGTTGACGTCGATCGTATGTAAATAAATGTCAGCGGCGACGGGACGCGCGGATATATTAAAACAATTCCGGCGAACGGACGGCGGCGGAGGGAGGGAGAGCGCGATAATTAAATTTATACGAAGTGCAACTGTGTAATGCGCTGGAAATCTGTCCTTACCGAGGGAGATAGTCGCGGAGATAGCCTCTCCATTTATAGTCCACTTTCTGAGGAAATCTGAAAGTCAAATCCGAAGAGTACCACCGTAACCGAGCGCGCTCGCGACCCATTTTACCGATGTTTTTTAAAGGATTCTACGTCGAGCAATCGAGATGTGCGCCCGGTAATTTTTGACGGTTATGATTAAGCCCGGCGAGGCTGTTATGAATAATAAGCAGTGCGGAGTTTATTGGCATTTCTCTTGCGCGCGAAAGAAACAAAGACCGGCGAACCGGTGTCTTCTCGTAATTGGAGAGCGCAGGGGCGATCATCACGCTGCCTTCGCCGTTATCGGGAAGAAGCAAGGATCGCGGATAATTATCTTTGTGCCGCGCGACATAAAAATTCCTTTATCGGGAACATCATCGAGATCTCTCTTGCTCCCAAGACACGAAGATCGCCGATGACCTCCTCGCGAATGGAACGCGAAGCAGTGCGCTCACTATCGCGCGTACACACGCGAAGATAATGACAGAGCCGCGGCGTACTCGGGGATATCCGGTTTTCTATTACTAGCCCGGGAATGGACGCGTACGCGGCGCACGTGTGCGTGTATTCGTTCCTTCGTTCGCTCGCGTGGAGTCGCGAGAGAGAGAGAGCTTCACTTCGGGATTCGGAATATTCTAAGGAAAATGCAAATACCGCTGGGAAGTTTGGCCAAGGGGAATCGCGCGTGTCGATCTGCGCGTGTGAGTGCGCACGCTCGCGCATGTGTGTGTGTGTGTATATGGACGCATACAAGCACACCTTCGGGATAGGCGTCCCCCACACCTGTTTGTATTCCGCAGTCGGATGCTTGTAAGGAAATTGCGGCGTCTTCGGCGAAATCCGCGACGCCGTCACCGCGATTTCCGCCCTCGACTCGTCTCTCCCTCTCGTTCCGCCCTCACCCTCAGCGCCATCCGCCCGTCAGCCGCCCCTTGCCCCCATTAAGGTCCCGATCCGGCGATTGATGTTCCAGGTCGGCTGGGTGAAGGCGGACACGAAGGCGATCCAGGCGATACACGACCACGTGATCACGCACAATCAGAGGGTGACCGTGTCCCACAGCGACCACACCATGTGGAACCTTCACATCAAGGGTGTCCAAAGGGAGGACGGTGGACTCTACATGTGTCAGATCAACACGGACCCCATGAAGAGTCAGGTATGTACCTCACCGGATCTACCCCTCGCAGTGATACGAGTCGATGTATGGCGCGACGACAAGTTTGCGCGCGTGCCCACCGTCGCGTTACTCCGGATCAATCCGGGATCTATTTCCTCCTCGCAAACTGGAGAAGGGCATGACCAAGTACACTATTTTAGTATAATATCCGATGAATAATCGCAACTTATCGATTTGTTCGCGGCTTACCGACCGCCGCTTACGTATCGCGCGTAAATAGACCGCGCACTCTCTCTCTCTCTCTCTCCCCTTTTTTATTTTATTGTATATATGTATTTTTTTTTCATCTGTATTGGGTACTATTATCTTTTCTTTTACTTTTGATTGCGAGTCCTTGTACTTATTTCTTGTACTAACACTTGAGGGAATTTAGTCCCAGGGTGCAAATAAACAACTCTCTCTTTCTCTCTCTCACGTCTCAAGTTTTTTCTCTAACGCAGGGATGCCCAGAGTATGAGTCGCGAGCTGATTTTTGGTAGATCGCGAAAAATTTTAGAATGTTAAATTATACTTCATTACTTCGCGTAGTTTTACAAATTTAATCCGGGTACAACTTGTTGCGTATGTTCGTAACGTATCAACGTATCATAACAATATGGATGGAATTCATTACAAGATCACGTATCTAAAATTAATAGATTTATAAGATTATATTCTCAGTAAAAAATTAAAAAATAAAAACAGCAAAGTAGTATAAATAAAGTGATATAAATAATTCTCCCTGCTTTTTCATATCCTCTAAAGCTAGGTGAGTCGCGGATATTTACCGTAAAAAGTGGGTTACGGTTCACACAAGTTTGGGAAACCCTGCTCTAACGTATTTTTTCTAATACCCTTCAATTACGAAGTTCCTGCCGTTCATTCGACTCGGAAGCGCCGTCCGTTTCGAGGGCGCCGCGCGCTCGCGCCGCCGTTAAATACCGGCCAGCGAGTAAATTTAACGAGGCACACAAGTTTCGCGAGCGATCGTGGGCTTTGCGAGAGCGACGACATCGCAGCGGCGGCGGCGGAAGTATCGTTAGGAAGTTCCTGAGAGAACGCTTCTAATAGCAGTTTGCCCTGTTTTAGAAACGCGCGAAGCCGCGGAAGGAACGCGCGGAATTCGCATAGGCGCTGAGACGGTCGTCTATTTGACGCTTCGAGCATTTTCGGTAGCTACACACACTCCATCCTCGCTTATGTAGTGAAACCAGCCCCGATACCTCCCCTGGAACCTTCTAAAACCAACGATAGCTTCGTGCCGCGCGTCTGCTCTTGATTGTAAAAATTTACTGTTGCTTATGTGGGTGCCATAAGGGAAAAGTACCAATACCTGGAAACGTACCTAACTCCGGACATATTCTTGTTGTGTTAGTCTTTAAATATGAATATTCAAACTTTCAACATAGAATATATTTTTTTATATCTATATGGGAATATATATTATATTCAAAGATTGAACATTCGTATTTGAAAATCAAAATAATAAGAACGTCCATAGGTAACAACGTATCTAGACATTGGTATTTTTATATTACTTCAAAAGTTCACCGAATATCGATTTTTTCTGCAAAGTTTATATCATATTGGTTGCAAAAATGATAAGTGCTTTTACATAGTGAAAGCACATGTTAGAATAAACTGAAGCATACATGCTCAATACATGATGAGAACGGTTGAAAATTTTCAAATATCTGACATATGATATTTCCAGCTTCAGTCAGCATAAATATTTATCCGATACAAAAATTCTGCAACTTGTACGTACCGAATGTATCAATACTTCAATTAGGGAAATTTCAAACGTCTTTATATCTTTCCAATCAAATTTTGAGGTCTAAAAAGATAAAATTTCGTAGAAAAATATTTACACAACTTGGTTAGATTATTCGTTAGATATGGTAAAATAGAGTAAATTCGTCGCGTTTATATTTATATCACATATTTATTTATTCACACTTATATTTACGTAAGATCCATATGTACATACAAGAAATACAAAATAGTAGCGTGATCGTATCAATGTTTATGTAACAACATTTTGAAGATCATTTTTACATTATCGACGCTTATTAAGTTCATCAACTATGGCATCCCCTTAACCGAGATTCGCGATGAAGTAACCGTATTTTCCACGATCCTTCAAACGGAATACTGAAATTAACGATGATGAAAGCTTAATCGAATAGTGAGTTCCGATAACCACATTTTTCTTTTGCACTATACACCCGTACCTCCCTTTGACACTGATTTCGATATTTTGCTACGATGCAGTGAGCCCGAATACATACAGACCCTGTTTGAATCTAGCCGCGGTAAACCGACAAACTCGGTGAAATAACTAATTAGGGCGGTCCTATCGATTGTATTTAGGTCGGTAAAGCATAGAGACGTGTTATCAGTGGTTGAAAGACCGTCGCGCGATTTCGAACTTACAAATCCACCTCTCATGTATAATCATGTGAATTTTATCGCGTATTTTATTTGACAGTTATATACGTGCATTAATTTGTAACGAAGATTTCGCGTAATATACTCCGTCATAATCCAGATTACGCGTGGATTAAATTGAAGCTATTATAATTAATTTACTATATTTATACCCCAATTTTAATTATAGAAACTTATTTTGAATATTGAATATTAGTTCGATATAAAATAGACAAGTGACTTGTTGCGATATCAGCGCGAATGTATAATATCAATGAGAAACGTCGTAAAGAACGACGATGTTCTCTCGTGTAAATAAATATTCTATCTTTCCGCGACAATCGGCTTTAAAAGGGAGATGCGACCTTTCGACCTCCAGCGCGGACTTAACTTCGTGAAGGATGACGGTTTTCCGATAGAGGCTTAGCTTATAAAAGAGCCACTGAATATGAATCGTATCTTTAACGCACTTCTCTTTCGCGTTTTTCTCGATATAATCCCATCAAGAGAAATTGCTCCGCGTGTCATGAGCGTTCCGCAAACGAAGTCGAACAAAAGGAGTTCTTCTCCGCGGGGGATTCTATTTAAAAATATACAGCGCGCACAGGAACTCCGAAAATCTTTATACGAATGTCTCATGCATGTCACTGCATGGTTAACGTCTTCTTAATAGAGATTGACAGACGTGACATAATTTTACGATATTGCGATGTGTGGAATTGTAAAAACCCCCCGTCTGAAATGAACAGATTTGTTCCCACGTAGCGAAAAATATCGCGAAAATCGACCGCGTCGAAGTCGCCGAACGGCAAGTGAAACAATTAATCGGGCGGTCCGCATGCTGCCAGTGATGCCCGCATCGATAAAGTGCCAAGATGCGCCTGAGTTAATCAATAGTTGCCCAGTTACAATCGGACCGCGTCCCACTTGGCTCACGCAATTAATCATCCGGTCTCAGTTTGCTAACTATCATTAACATAATCTACTGGCATAATACGCGCTGCCCCTGCTCGTGTTACAACGCGGAAAATCAGGAAGACCTCTCGAAATTTACACTCGCCCTCGCACGTCAAACATTCCTACACGATATCGAGAAGACTTCCTCTCAGCGAAAAACTTTTCACTCTCACTTTCTACGCAACACCGAAAGAATATTCTTCCGAAAGAAAATAAAAAAAAAAAAAGAGAGAGAAAGAAACAGGTTCGGAGTCGAGAAATCTGAGATTGAATTTGGAAGTCATTAGCGGAGAGAGAGAAACGGACCAGTTGGAAATTGTGAAACCGCGCCGTTCACCGCAAATGTAACGCAATATCTAACAGCGGAGATGCGAGCTTTATTTAACATTATTGGCTTACGTATATTAATAATAAACGTCGCGTTCATTATCGTATTCATTACGTCTCTGATGAAGCTTCGCATAACCGCGAATGATTGGCCGACAGCGAAGAGCAGAGAGACAGAGAGACAGGGAGAAATAGGGAGAGGGAGGAAAAGAAAGAGATTCGACGCGTTCACCGTACTCACGCAGAGGCGAACTGCAGTCGCTGCAACCTCGTTTACACATTTCGATACTTTCCACCGTCTGTAATCGTCGTCAGCGATAACAAACCGCAAGAGTATTACCAGGCCGCGTCGAGCTGCCGTGAGTATTAGCTGCTGCCGACATAACAATCTGTACAAGTATCGAAGGCATTTCGCCTTGCGCGCGCGCCGCTAGCAGACCCGCGGCATACTTAACGAGCCCGGGAACTTAACGAGCCGTCTTCGCCAGTTCGGGAACGTCGGTACCCGTTTATGAACATCCCCGGCCGTAGTAACGCTTAAATCCTTCTCACTCTCCTCCCTTTCCCCCCTTCCCCTGCTTTCTCTCTCTCTCCCTTTTTCTCACATTCCTTTGCCTTATATACGGTATAGCCATGTATAGTCTTATCAGAAAAGGATTGGAATATTAAGTCACGTTTAACGACTATTATACGCGACCGGCGTGGTAATTGCTGATAAGGAAACGGAGGCAGTCCGTCTCGTTTGCGCGACGAGACGACATTTCCGTACGTGAGGAAACGTTGAAGAGAATCGCGGGTTCTCGCGATCGAACGATGTCGCTGTGGATTTTTCACGATTACATGCGCGTCGCGACGACAACTCGCCGAATTCCGCGCGCGTCGACGACGATTTGCCGAATTCCGCGTGAGTTCCTTTTAAATGTACGGCGTCGGCCGATGTAGCCGGGCGGCAATTAGACGCGCAGAAATGTCGCGTTACGAGAGCGCGTAGAGGAGATTTTTCTCGGGGCGTGAAAGACGCGCACTTAACGAGGCACTTTAGTTAACGCGAGCACCCCTTCGTTCTCCTTTCCCCGGTTGGCAAAACATCTTGCGTTGTTTCACGAGAGGACGAGCACGCAAGAGAACGACCGTGGTTGTCTGGCGGTCTTAAAGTAACGCCTCGTCCGTCTCCAGCCGCGAGACAGCATCCCGCAAAGTGATACGGCACAAGAGACGCCGCTGGAAGTCGAGTCAGAGGATCTAATTTTCCGACATTTCGGATTGAATTCGAGCCCCGCCCTACC